CCGTTATATTATCTTGAACCGCTTCAAGGTAGTGATTTGGCAAAAAGGTTAATTCATTGTTCTCATTTTGCTTGTTCTTGATACCGAAGTTTAATTGAGCTTGGAATCTTCGTGGTCTTCGTGCTCACCAGAAGCTTTACGAGCGCTGGACGTGAACCTTTTTTAACCTACATTGTAAAGAGTTAGGTTTCCATAATTTTGGACTGCTATAAGCTTCTAACAGATGTTTATCACCCAGACATTTTGTACTAAGTCTAAGTAATCCAGTCGATGACTGATGATAAGCAATCGACGGACTAAAGCCCTCAGGGACATAAGCAGCACCAAAATAATTAAAAATAAGTTTCCGACCTTTCGACCTTCTGATAAAACGAGTAAGAATTGAAGTACGGCCTGAAGTCTCGGCCGTACACAATCCGGGTCTCCTAGGCCCGGATTGTGTAAGGCCGAGACATAATTCTGGTCGAGCGGGCCCATTCGTGTCGAGGTATAGCTCTCCAAACATATAAAATAGTTCCAACTTCATTCACTGTACCGGTTTACCTAGTTTAAAAGTCACATATCTACAGCATAAATCGTCCCTCTAACATCGAAAAGGTTTACTATTCATTTGCAATTAAACCCATAATTAACAAGACAGTTTTAATTATCCACCGCTGTTCTAGACAGACACGATAACTTTCCGTCAATTAGGAAGCGTTATGTGCGCAAAGGAAGTCTTTAATTAAGCTAAGTGTTTATTTTTGTTGTTTATTTAATTATATGTCGTGGTGGCCCGGAGGTTAAGGAGCCCGCTTCTCATGTATGAGGGTGTGGATTCGAAACCGGGCAAGTACCAATCGCCAACCTGCACTGAGCAAGCGTGGTGATCAATGCTCTAACCTTCTCCTTGTGAGACGAGGCCTTTGCTCAGCCGTGGGCACTTATAGGCTGATGATGATGATGATGATGATGATTTTATTGGGAAATTAACTAACTGTGGAATTTAGCAGCAGCAGGTTATGGCTGACTAAAATACCCTTTTCGTCAAGAACTCTTTTCCTCCCGTTGCCCAAAGACTGGAATCTAAAGCACAGACACTTTATGTTTCGTTTTAAAATCGTCATCGAGAACCCGCTCTCATTACTGATGCCACAAAAAAGTCCAGCCTCGATCCCCACACAGAATCTAAACTAAATAAAACGGCATTCAGTTCATTTTATACCAAGATTTATTTGTTTGGAACTCGTTTAGGAGTCCTTTGTGTGCAGCCAGCGTCTCTTTGTGACCACTAAACGAATCTCGGATAGGGGACACGCACACCGACAGGTCATCTAGAAAGTACACCTAGTTCACGGTCGATGTTGGCTGAATTTCAAGAATGCAGACTCCAAAACATTTTCAAAAGAGGTTCATAATAACGAGGCAGAAAATAATATCAATGTTGAGAAAGTATGCTATGAAGATTAACTAGCTACTAAGTTATTTATTTGGAGGAAACGCGTTAGAAATGCAATATTTTGGCGTGTTTACGTGTCAAACACTTCGCGACATAATTGAGCAACGTTTTTAAGAGTTATGCTTTTCGTTAACTCACTAATCACAAGTTTTGAGCAAATACTTTTTTGGACAAGCCCACTGCAACCTCTTAAAACTGCTGCAAGTCCTGTAAGCCAGGATCTAGAGTAGATACAACCAGGAAAACACCGGAACACTGAAGTCCGGAGCGTCCCAGGGACATGAATGACTGTCCTAGATCTAGTTACGAAATAAATCAGAGCAAATGCTTCTAGTTATGTGTTAGAACTACTTATTTATTGTAGACTACTTAGTGCAAAATTGCCAAAGACTTTTTACAAAAACCTTCCTACCCGATAATTTTATTAAAAAACAGACAATGTTATTTTATGCTAAATTACCAATCTGTGGAAACGGAAGGTTGTAAAGGTATGGGAAGCCGTCACTGCATTAATTTATCCATAACGGGTTCAACATCCGGATAACAAGATACACGCGGAAATGAAAGGCTTTATCAGTAGATGCAATTTGCATCTTAGCAATGTTTCTATCGGATCTTGTAATACAGACCGGATTTTAACCAACGCTGGACTTGTTCGGTTGCTCGTGAATGAAGGTCAACTGACCTATCTCCAGACAGAAGACTTCCAGATGGTATAATTTTGTTAATTTCTATGGTTGATCATTATGGTGATGAATTAATTATTATTATAACAAAACGTTAACTTTAAGTTTTGCTCTCTGCTACAGGGTTCTTAATTGTGTCCTAACTGTAAGTTAATCCTGTAAGACCTTGTTAAACATTGTGTATGATTTGTATGTTCAGGGTCTATCTTGAATCTTCGTTTCGAATTTGCTCGTCGTCAGAGTCAGTTAAGCTGTGATCATTTTAACATTAACTACTACAGTCATAGGCTCATTACGCGACATGAGACGCTCGAATCACGGCATTATACAGTTTAATGAGTCTTATCAGGCCAAATATGTGTCTATCTATACGTACTGAGATTTGACCACACAGTTAATGAGACTTAGAAGATCTGTTCTTGGTTTAATCTGCATTTTTAGAATTTTTACTTACCATGTTTATATTGTATTCTACTCCTGAAGATGAATAGTCAAGCATTGACTAGATATCATCATCATCTTCCTGCCCTTGTCCCGTTTTTTTAATTTTTTTTTTTTAATTTTTAAATAATTTATTCAGTAAAGTTACAGAAAAGTGTCCTTATCATCTAAACTCGCCAAACTTTAACGTTTGATGGCGAGAGGTTTATTTGGGGTTGGCGCAATATGTTTTTTTCTTCCATTCTGTCCTGTCACTCGTCCCGCTATCGCTAACTCCTCTGTCTTCCATATCACTTCTCACACAATCCATCCATATTTTCTTTGGTCTCCCCCTGCCTCTCCATCCATCCACATTTATACACATGACTTTTTTTGTTACATGATTTTCATCCCTCCTTTTCACATGGCCATACCAAGACAAAAGGTTCCCTTTCAACTTTTCAGTCACTGGCGCCACTTTCAAACTTCTCACTTTATCCAATCTCGTCACACCACACATCCATCTCAGCATTCTCATCTCTGCTACATGCAATCGCTTTTCATCCGTCTTTTTCAGAGCCCAACATTCTGACCCATACAGTAGGACAGGCCTTATCACTGACTTGTAGATTTTACCCTTCAACCTGAGGGGCATCCGTGGGTCGCAAGTTGTTCCAGTGACCTGTCGCCATTTCATCCATCCTGAGTTGATCCGATGTGCCACGTCTCGGTCTATCTCACCATTTCCTTGGATAAGCGAGCCAAGGTACCGAAAATCAGAACAGGTTGGTATTGCAAGCATTGACTAGATATAATAAGAGCTATGTAAACAGAACCAGTTTTTGAGTATCGAGGATAATCGCCATTGTTACCGGCTTTCCAATGCACCACGTGCGGCCTGTTCTGACTGAACTCTGAAGAAAGTTAGTTATGTTTTCACTTAGAGCGGTGGACTGAATTTCAAGCAGCTTTTGTTAGGACCAGTCAGATAACGACTGACAGTAAGATTTAAGATTTTGCGACCAACACTTATAGATACGCTTTTCTTGCCTTCTAAGATTTAGAAGAGGCGTTTGGACTTCTGGCAACTACTTAGATAATTAATTCTCGCTATTTAAATCGTAGCATGATTATTAGTGTGCTCTCCAAAAAACCTCTTATAATTTAGACTTCTTTTAAGATTTGTTTTGGCCCTTAGCCTACAATCTGACCCCTTGCCGTGTCACACACAAGTAGATATTTGTAGCTTGTAAGTTGTCTTCCAAAAAGAAATTAGTTGCATTTAACGTGTCTCTTTAAACAATTGTGAGCATCCTAATACGAATGCCTCGTATTGCAACACGCAAAATCCATCGACATTATGACTAACAAAATTATTACGTCATCAGACAGACATTGGTATTTACAGAACCTTTGCTACTTTAGTCCAAAACCACAGAACGAAAATAATATTCGATTTACCTATAGGTAAGTGTGGTTATTGCTTCATTTGACCTAACTAGTAACCACTAACCACGAACCGAAAGATGAAAGAAATCTTTAAAATATGCGAAAGGTTTTCATACCCATTTGGTTAACGTGGCTCTCATTCTAAATTGGCAGGTAAATCGGTACTTAGAATTTAAGGTTTTGGTTAATAAGGACAACTTTGAAACCTGTTTTTGTTTTACAACTGTTTAGTATTTGAAAAGTAAGCTTAATTTGTCGACCTTCGGCGTGGATATGAGTAGGTAAAGGCTGGGCCTACTAAAAAGTACTTTTGCCTATACTTACTGACTTACTTAGTTGAAACCAAAAAGTTTTGCCAATCGCTAAGCTATCGAGTGTCTTTTTGAACATGCCATGAAGTTTAACAGGCAGAACAATAACCTGACATTTTTCTTACGAGCTTTCTTTGTTCTATCCCTACGTGGTTTAACATCTCACTTAAGACTGCTCTTACCATAACAATCAAGTCGATAATTACACAAGTAACTGAATAGTATTTCACCGTTCCGACATGAATAAATTAGCTAATAATTTAGGTGTTTTCTCTCACAGACGGATAAACGTGCGTGACAAACCGGTGGAGAATGGCAAATGGGGACCTTTGCAACAAGGTCATAGCTTGCTTAACTCTCGATGTCTACTATCTTATATTTTATGAATCATAGGTAAGAAATATTGACCTTAAAGATCCTGGTAAAGTGTTTAAACTTTTTCGTGTAGTACGAATTTTAAAGCGGTAACGAACGTGCCTAATTTGAATATCAAAAGCAAAAAAAAAGAAATAAATGACAGGGTTCTAAATTTGAATTTTAAAAATATGATATGTAAATAAATTAAGTAAGCTGATTTTATTATTATCTGTCTAAGAAAAATTGGTGTCGTAATAATTACGACTGTTTATTTTGCAACAACTTGTAACTTATGCATTATTATTCTTCTCAAAAATTGTAAGTTGAAAGCACTCTTACCGTAAATAAGGTCAGTCAAAAATCACACGCGTTGCATCCTGTACTTTTTGTACACAAAAATGGGCTCAGCACTAGGTGTGTTCGATTTGATACAAAACCAGTGGTTCACAGCACAACAATACCGTTACTTCGACAGCTTGACATCACAGAAAACGGTCAAAAGTACCATAACAACACACTAAACAACACTTTGCAGATTAACACAGAGCTACATAATTACTGTTTCAGTAATATTAAAGTAATACACACGAGATAACAAATAAAACTTCAATTAATATTCGGTCTAGCCCGCCACCGTGGAATTTAACTCGACAACTGACAACTTGTGTTTACGTTACGTTCCATTGACACGATTCCGTCCGTCTCCCTCTTACACTAAACATCAATGAACGTGCGAAAGAGAAGGACAATGTTAACTGTAATGCAATCGTTATGTTCACCAGCAGCGCCTCTAGTGGTTAGTTTTAGTACTAACCAGTAAGGAGGCTTTGACTTTATTGAACAATCTCTTTCCTTTCCGTTCGTACTATATTCGATAGATGGCGTTATTGTGTAATTAACTTTCAGTTTATGCTATATCAATAGATGGCGTTACTTGAGCCATAAACTAAATTAATCAAAAGCTCTTAAGTTGTAAAATTAATCGCGTAAGTGTGTGTACCGGAGTGATACCACGTCCTCACAGAAAACCGGCGTGAAACAACCACATCGTTATGTTTCGCCATGTGAGTGAAGTAGTGAGTGAATCAATCAATCAATCAATCAATCCTTCTCCTCCCCTGATACCTCTCCAATCTCAAAATCTCCAAAACCCTAATCCCTTAAATTCGATCTCCGTTGGAGGTGTCCATGGGCGGCGCGGATTGCTTACCATCAGGTTATCCATATGCTCGTTTGCCTACCTATTACAAATAAAAACTCACAATCCAGAGGGACTCTTAAACTCCATCCTATTTCTAGAAACATTCGAATAACTGCAATTGATGTCCATTTTACTCACCACAACCCACTAATTGTTATCTTTCTTGCTAATCCAATTTTGCGACCATTCATAATGATACAAGTGTTGTATAAATCCTCTAGTAATCATTTTGCTAAAGCTAATAAAGACATAAAGTTGATACTTTACCGATTAACTAATAATCGCGTGACTATTGTCGGAAATGTTCCGGCCGTCAGCGTACATTGCCGTTAATATGCATTTCTGATATATCGCTGTAACAATCAGCTCTAGGTACCTAATGATTTTATAAACTTATGCGTGGGGGTGGGGAGGCAAGTGTAGATTTGACACCTTGTCATCATCCTAGACATCTCCAAAAAAAGTTTTTTATGTTTTTATGGGAGAAGTTGGCAAACACTCTGACGGCCTTTTGGGGTTTGGGATTTGATGATTGGTTGACTTTGGGGATTGGAGATGAATGATGGGGTAATTGGGTCTCCGGTAACCTCATTCAAACAGCGAAAAACAAGGAAAATTGCTTTTGTGTTAGGCCACGGTGTCACAACAGTTGAGTTGGTCCATTAAAATTTCTCCTATATATTCCTAAGGGACAATAAACTTCTTAAAATGTACCTAGCTATAATATTTAAAAAAAGTTGAAGATAGGTTGCTTTCTTTCATCGGTATTGGTACAAATCGATTTTGCAATGTGACGATTTTGCCGCATGACAATGCTACACCTAAAGGCGCACGCTGATAGCTTACCACCAGGTGATCCGACTGTTTGTTCTCCTAAAAACGTCGATATTTAATGTGGCTCTGGTGTTCCAAAAGTATAATTAGACCACATTGACCGCGTACCTTCAGGAGACTTACTGGCAAACTTTGAAACAGGCTGATAACGATATAAAAAATCTAATAAGTAAGGAGTTGTCTACTCCCGAAAATGACTAGATTGTCACCACTGGATTGTCTCTGCATCACCCAAAGGTAGACTGGAAGAGAATGCTCATTGCATTAAGTCCGTCTTACGCACATTTTTTAGCTGCGCAAGAAGTTTTTAAAGAAATAAAAAAATGTCCCCCTCAAATAACCCCTGCTTTTGGCACCTTGTGTCCGAATATTCGCAATTGGAGTTGTCATTCTTGTCAACATAACAGTCCAACTGTGTCCGCCCGACTGCAACCGTTCGCTGCGCACGCGCAAATCATTTCACTCTCTATAGCCATTGGTGGACAACATTTGTTTTGATTAACCAAATTTGAATAAATTGCGTTGAAACTCTGATAAGCGTTAGATACGTATTAAGTTATATTTGTTTGTGACCTTGGCTTAAGCAAAGCTAATTTAATATTTCTTAATAAAGTCACTATACTTAAATACCTACCATTTTTTTATTTTATAAATAACACAAAAACCTTAACCTTTTTCGAAAATTAATTTGGTACATTATGACTCTAATAAAATTTTACAATTGTTACAGTATAATTATGAAGTAATAGGTGCTTAAAGTACCTATCAATTAACAAATTACCTACACCGTCTTTCATGAAGGAAAATCCAATTTTCTTTTTTTTACGCAAATATGCAATTACAAACTACTAAGTATATACAACAGCTAATAAATCAACAGGTGTTGCTTTACATTTCCTTCCTACATAATTAGCATCGCATAAAAATGTTGTCAACTCCCCCACTCCATTTCCCCGGTGGGGGTATTAGGCGCCGGCTCACAACACTGCGGAAAAAAGTAAAAACACTATCGTTAGTCATTAATGCAGGCGCAAGCGCACCGCGTACTTTTTTCCAACCATTTCTAATTTCGACACCGTCAAGAGCGCACGTGTTAAAATTATTTAATTCTTTTTTTTTCATATTTTTATTTTACAACTGACTTTTACCGCTTTTTTATTGGCAGTTACAATGATTAATAGTGATGTTTATGAATCGTTAAATATCAATACGTTTCGCGGTATAATTTACGCGTAACATCAGCGCAAATTGTGCGTTGTGGAAGAATGAATTGATTGTTGTCGTGTAAACTAATGACTATGACGCGTGTTAGCTGCTGTGTTTTAATTATATTTTTAACGGCGATCTTTATGGACAGCTGTGATGGCTACAGCCCGAGAGGTAAGTAACTATGCATACATTTTTACATGACCCTGACAATTTTCAGACCCTTATTCTTACACAGTTGGATAGTTTTCTTAGAATAAAATAAATTGTTTGAATTTTTTCAAACCATTAAAACGCTTTTTGATAACTTAACACGATATAAACATTAATAATAGTATTTTTTTATATCATCCAAGAGAAATATGTGTCCTATTTGAAATAAAAATTATAATTTTCATATGTCACACCGTTCTTTTTCATAAATATAGACATTATGCATTTGAAATTTCAGACTCGTAAAAGTAGTACTTAGGTAGTTGGAAACTACTTAATTACGAACAATACAAAATAACAAATTAAGCTTTTAAAGTTCTCTATCGATGTTAAAATTAATCGACTACTTAACAATATAACACAATAAAAAATGTCATCTCTTTAGAGCATTCGCTAATGGATTCAATTAATTACAATGACTCAGCAGATCCTTGTGAAAGGAATTAGATGTTACCGATTTTTGTGACAATTTACAGCTTCCTCGTCACTTAGATATATCATGATCATATGATCAAAATCGTGATTGAAGATTTGAATTAACAAATAATTAAATAACTCATTAATTTTTCTTGTTCGGGTGATTTCATTGGTATCACCATTAATCAAATCAATCGATTTTTGGATAAGGATTTTTCCAAATATAATAACTCTAAATATTTTAATCTTATACTTGTTTCAAAAAACGTCAGTTTGCTGTTTATTTCTGTATTGAAGTATGACAGAGGAAGTCTTTTTTTCGTTTGACGAAAAACTTTACTTCATTTTCCTTGTTATGTAATTTTCTAGCCGTGAAAATCCGTTTTATTTAGTGTGGTTTTCTTTTTCAACTAGAAAGCTTAGAAAAACTATTTTATTTGTACTTTTAAATAAAATAGACAATTAATTAGGTACAAGAATAGTAGTTTTATAAGTATGGTTATTTAAAAATCTTTGAATTATTTTTTCTAACCTTTTTCGCGAGATCGCCATTTTGAATCACATATCTTATGTGTGTAGTTGTGTGTTTCTATATTTTTTGTGTGCATAATATATAATAAAACTATTTTCTACTCACAAAATCTTTAAAACTACCACAATAACGTATTCTAAATATCTTGTAAAACAGAATACCTACCAACGCATTATCTCCGAACACTTTACAAATAATAACATTGTAATATCTATCTATTTACACATTCACTCTCATTTTCTCTGCCGGTAGCTATTACTATTCAAACCACATTCTATTACTAAACCTGCATAGAACAGAACAGGCTAGACTTAGGTTATGAAAGGCCCAGAAGTACCTAGGTCTTAGTTACTGCTAATTGGAAGTTAAAGTTGGCAATGGGTAGGTAATTAATTATGTTAGAAACTAATTAGTAAGATTAGTCTGACTGTCTCGTAGGAAGAGTAAAAGTTCGAATACGCTGGGATCCGGCAAAGGCCTGGTCTTGTAAAGGTCAAAATAAGGAATAGTCATCTATAGATAGCTTATAGCATGGAGTCAGGACTTGGTCCTGGTGTACGACAACTAGCTTACATCTAATAAAACTCATAAGATAATTAGAAAATCACTATTTATTGTAAAACAAAGTCGCTTTTTCTGTCCCTATATCCTTATGTATGCTTAAATCTTTAAAACTCCGCTACGGATTTTGATGCGATTTTTTTTTCATAGAGATAGTGATTAAAGAGGAAGTTTTATGTGTTTAATTAAATCTTTTAAATAGTGAACTAATTTAGTATCGGCGTCGCACTCATGCGAAGGGGCGGGTCGCTAGTAAAAAGGCTTTTTAAAATAGTTTTTTTTTAAATCAAGCTTTTACCATGTAGGTCTCTATATTCCGGGACTAAACACCTTAAATCGAGCGAAATCACATAAATAGCCTAGCTAGCTTTTTTATATTGATGCAAACATAACGTGTATATAAGCTCAATCAGGTCGAAGATATCGATCTTCTAAATTGATTAAAAAGATGACACTTAACAAGTATACAGTAGGCTAACTTTATAGTAGGCTAGCGGTCGCTTGCGGCTCCGCCAGCGTAGATGGCGATTTTACACTTTTTGAGGTTTTTTTTTTATTTTCTCTACGTACAAACCATATCTGGAGATCCACAAATAATTCAAGTTTAAAATTAACCAAAATTGGTAAAGGCATTGTTGAGTTAGAACTATAATATATACCTATATGTATGTACGTTACAATCAAACACCTTCCAAAAAGGCTAGTAACTTGACATGATCTGCCTTCACATTCAAAGGACAGAAGATCTTTTTATCACTCATATGTTTTTGCAAGGAGGTTAAATAACACTATTTTCAGTCTTTTATCTTTCACAGTTCTTGGAAGTTACAAATCAACCCCCATCCAAGGGTCGAATTTAGAACCTAACTCTATTAAGTACAATAATAACGCGACAGATTTCACTTTTCCATTACAATATTTATACTGGATAGTTTCCAACAAACGACTGGGTTTCCCTTTATTGCGGGCAGACATTTTGTTTTATAATAATATACTGTGAGCTGCTCTCGTAAACTGTTTGTCAGTTGAAGAAATACACGTAATAATTGTAGATGTAAATGTTATTTAATTAGGTAGTATTTTATCTCTCTGTCCATCATTATCTTCATCAGCCTAAAAGTGCCCACCGTTAAGCAAAGGCTTCTTCTCACATGGATAAGGTTTGAGCATTAATCACCTCGCTTCCTCAAGATGGATTGGTCCAAACTTATAATTAGAAATTATAGGCACAGGTTTCGTCACGATGTTTTCCTTCATCGTATGTTAGAGTTGTCTAAATAATCTTCGAAAGTATAAATCGGGAAAAATCACATTGGTACTTCAGCCAGGTTTCGAACCCGTAGCTTCATCCATGTGAATTGGGCGACTTAACCTCGGGGCACCACGGTGTTACCACTCTGTTATACACATTATTTAACAAAAAAAAACTAATAAATGAATATTCAGTTAAAAAGAACATACTATGTATATGTATAGCTGAAAAGTGAAACAACCTGTTGTTTTTTCCTAAAATGACCACTAGAGAAAGAACATGGTTTCCCCAGATTATTAAAATTTTTACATTGTCTGGACTTTACAAATACGCACCACTGAGTTTGTTTTGGCATTTCTTCTCAGAGTAGTCAGATAGGAAATTAATGCCGGCTTCATTTGTTTTTCCATTTAATATATTGTTGACGTGTTATAATTCTCTTTTATGGTCTATTTAATTAATGATTATAGTTAGTCAAGCTTCTTTAAGTTGAACCAGTCATGGACTCCCATACATAACATCTTAGAGATACAAAAGTGTTGCTGACCTTATGGGGTCAGGGGTTATGAGGAATGGGGATCATTGATCATGGAAAGGGTGAGGAATTTGGCCTCCACATATTAAGAACAACCTTATTTTTCTCCAGTTGCTAAGATTCTTGGTAATTTTGAAATTGAAAGCTTTTTAATTTCAACCTGCTAAGCCAATGACAAATTCTTAGAAAAGAAAGCCTAATACCATATAGGTATATTTTCCATAATTTTTGAGTTTCCAACGTTCAATACGGTTCCTTATTTTGCTACAATGTACGAATGTATATTGGATTTGTAAGAACAATACGGTAGAACAAAGGAAATGAAAGCTTATTGGAAGTTGATGTCATCCAATCAAGTCGTAAAATTGGTTTCCAGTAACTGAAGTTGGTTAAAGCCTAGTTCTTCATTGGAACTGTTCTGGTTGAATATCCTCTGCTGCGAGTGTCCATGGGCAGCGTTTCTGGTTTCCATTGAGGTCTGGATCCATCCGCTAAATTGCTTGTATGCCTTACAAAATTATGATCGTTTCAAAACAAAGTGACATTTGGGTTTAATTAAAGTTCAAAGGCTGAAGAGTTACCTCATTTTAACTACAGGTACAAAGCCGCATATAGATAATAACGACAAGCCATAAATCTCTGTCTGTAATCAAATAAACAAAATCACGATCTACCTCAACAATTACATCACATAGACGCCTCAAGTAAAAGTAACATAATAACTACAAATCTAGCCACAAAACTATAATCAATACAAATGGATTGATCCATTTTCAAAACGTGAGGTACCTGTCGAACAATTATTTCTCACACAAAAGAAGACTTCAACGGACAAACTGACAAAAAGTCATCAAAAACATATTATTACCTATCAGTATGATTGCTATTGTTGTATTAGAATTACCAAATTCATTGTCATTGTTACATTTATTACGAAACACGGAATGTTTGCGAGGAAAGTGTTGGAGCAAAAACATGGAACCTGCGCCGGCGCAGGTCTGTGACGTCACAACAGATCAATTTCTCGATTAGTACCGTTCCACTTTGCTCCGATTGATCGAACAGTTTCATGTTACAAACAAATTATTTTATAGTTTTGATTTGATTTTAGAAACTACTGATGGTATGGAAATGCGCGGTTGCGTTGCTGCAATTAAATTTTTACTGACGCATCCATATTTGGGTCTTTATACTATGATTTATATCATATCTCTCTCTCCTGAGATAGGCAATTGCTAGTATCATCCACATCTTATCTAGATTTAGGTGAATAACATTAAATTCATAAATAAACCAATTTTTCTTTAGTAGGTCTAGTTTGTCTTTAACTCTACATAAAACTCAATGTAAAAATCTTGTATATAGTATATAATTTCTTTCACGTTTATGTTATTGTAATTTACATGTAAACTTGTCTTCGAAATCAACAATAAGTGTACCTTTTTAGTATTGTTATAAATAAATAAGTAAGTAATAATGTTTTTTTTGTAAAAAAATACCGTTTATATTATCATTAGACTCAAACTAGGCAAATCCTATCTTAGGCGGTAATTTGAGAGGGTGTTTAGGTTATATTAAGAAATCACTATAATTATTTTTAATGGCAGAGTTTTGAGTAATCCTCAATTTGTAAAATAAAAATGCGATGAAGAAGTACACAGGAA